CATGTATGTCCAATCTGCGATCTTTGGGCCACATTTAGTCAAATAATAGCTATGAATTTGGTCTAACACAAACCTTAAACTTACTTAAAAACATGGTGATACCTTTTTCATTTTTTTCTTGTAATGTGACTGCATGATTTTTAAGTATAAACTGTGTAGATGTCATCATGTTAAAATGTCAAAAGGTTGGACTTGCCTGACAGGGTAACTCCAAGGTGTGTTTTGACTAGGTGTATGGCATTAGCTTTCACTGATTCGGGAAATACAAGAGGCAAGGCTTACACTGATAAGGTCGTGGGAGAGGTCCCTCCAACATCCAAGGACTGTACGGGTTGTCCTGTTGGAGTTGGCCCACAAGCACTAGGCTTGATGGGCTTAGACCCAGCAGAAAGATCTGTGCTAGATAGAACTGCACCCGAAGTTATGAAATGGAATGACATCACTGAAGGAGAATGAGATGAAGGAGAATATGAGAGAAAAACCGAGGAAGATGTACTAACCTGAAGAATGGGCCCAAGAAGGGGTGGAGGGGTGGGCCAGAGAAGGAAAACCAACTGTGAGTGGGCTCACCAAGGAAGGAAGTGGTGTTGGGAAGAGTGTTAGATCTTGTGGCCAGGAGGAGTTAGGTCCAGGGCAGAAGTGAATGTATTGCTTTAACCATCAGGAAGTCCTGGGCAACCTTCCTAAAAACATTTTCCATGCAGCGATAAGTGCAAGAGGCAGATTGCAGTGGGTTGAAGAACTCGTAGGAGGTACTGAAGTGGAGATGGCCAGTGTAGACAAATTTCTCAAGAAGCTTAGCTGTGAAGAAGAAAGAGGGACAGAGGGAGATGTGGAGGCAGGTAGAGGGTTTTGATTCCCAGATGGGAAAGACTTGAGCTTCTATAAATGGGGACAGGAAGGATGCAACAAAGAGGGAACAGCTAAGAAGATGGGAGATAGAAGGAATGGTTATTGTGCATGAGAGACCAAGGATAGACCCAAGAGCTTAGGTGGAAACTGGCCTTAAATAGTATAGGGGACCCTTCTATAGTTTGATGACAGTTGGGCAGGAGTGAGTATAACAATGTGGATACCATTGGCAATGGCAGCTGTAATAATGGTACCATGTGTTAGGCATCAAACCTCTCCTGTGGTAGATGCCTTAGCATTTGTGGATTCCTGTGATCCAAACCATACCCTGTGGGATAGATGTTTCCCCATTCTACAGATAAAGAAAGTCCCAGACTGGTGAAGAAACAAATCCCAGCCCAACAAGCTGGTGGGTGGTGGGGCTGGTATTGAAATGCAGGTCTGTTTGAGTTCATCTGTCCAGAGAAGCCAGCTGAGACCATATGATGAGGGAGCCGTCAATGCCAACTTGGAGTCTTAACTTTATCCAGCAGACAATGAGGAGCCGAGGTGAGCAAAAGAGATTGGTGCTGAAAGGTGAACTTTAGGGAGGCTATAAAAGAAAGAGAAAGGGGTTGTCAGAGGGAGAAACTACAAGAGCCTGTCCTTGGTAAGAGGGTAATAAAAACAGCGAGACTGGATTGTCATGTTTTCCTCATGACAACCTTAAGAATTGTGGCATTTTATCACATTGTTTAGATGAGGAATGGGGAACTAAGGATCAGGGCTTGAGAGATGGATCTTGTGATTTTGCTGATTCAGTGTGTATGTGGGACAGTGTGTCAGAGGGATCTCCAAGTTGGAGAAGGGTGTCTGCACGTATGTGTGTGTATTCATGCATGTGCTTGTCTGCCAGGTGGACCACAGTGCCTTCCCCTGCTTGCCATCTTTCCTTCTCATCTCTTCTTGATCCCTTTCTTTCCTGGATCCCATACTTCCTACATTCTCTGAACTGAGGAGTCTGGGAATGGGATGTTGCCATTTCCTTTGTTGTCCTCAGAAAACCCACCTTTTCACTTCTGAAGCATCCAATTCTCCTCCCAGTCCTAATGTCTATCCATACACTCCATGATACTGTAGCCCCACTCCCGTGGCTGCCATGTGCAGTCTGGCCCCTTAGAAATGAGATTTAGAAACAGTTAACACAATGCCCATTGCTCCTGTTTCCATTTCGTTTGTTTGCTAGGCATTTAATGTATGTTCTAGACCTTGCAACAGTCCTGGGAGTTGGCAGCATGAGCCCCTTTTTACAGCTGAGGTAACAACTCCCAAGAGGGACAATACAATGTCCAAGGGCGCATAATGTAGAAGCACATGCAGAGCCTGGGTTTAGACCCAGGTCTCTCTTCCCTCTCCCTTCCCTCCCCTTCCCTCCCCTTTCCTCTCCTCACCTCTCCTCTTCTCTCCTCTCCTCTCTTCCTTATCTTTCTTTCTTTCCTCTTCTTTTTTTTTGTGGTTCTAAGAGTATAACCCAGGGCCTTGCATGTGATAGGCAAGCGCCCTACCATTGGGCTACATCACTAACCCGTGAACCCAGGTCTTTTACTTCTAAGGCTGTGCACTTTCATGCTTGATTTCTAAGCATCATTCCTGGTTTTGCTGACCTTGAGTCTTAAAGAAATATAAATATCTGCCCTATAAGGACAGAATGGATTTCTAGCACAAAACCTGGAAGAACCGAGTCTGAGACCTGAAGCTCTAAGAACTCTGATTCAGATCCTGACTATATTTTATACCCAGTTGTGTGGCCTCAGTCAGTTTATCTAACTTCCCTGAGGTTAAGTTCATTTCTAAAATGCTGCTTCTGCAGAGTTGTTGCAGGGGTTAGATGAAATGATGCATACAAAGTTCTAGCAGAAAACACATTGCTATTATTTATAGGAAAGTGAATGGGCACCTATCAGAGTCAAACATTGTGTTTCTATACTATGAAGGTGACCCTAAGATTAAGGCTGGGTTGGGGAGGACTATCCACAAGGGGACCAGCCATAGGCTCCTTGGAGACTGAGTTGGATGTGGCACTGGATAATGTGTCACACTGGCTTCCCCCCCTATTTATACCCCCATCCTAGTCCAACTTCCCAGTTCTGGCCCTTCATGTATCTCCCCTTCTCTGCAAACTAATGTCTCTGCCTCTCTCTGTCACCCCTACCTGTGGCCTCTGCCCTGCCCTTCCTGGTCCCAGGGAAGAGGAGGAGGAGGAAACTGAGGAAGAGGAAGAGGAAGACGCTCACCAGTTCTGCTGTCCGGCCTCCGAATGCAGTAGTCCCTCCTCTCGGTAACTGAGAGGACAAGGGCCATTTTCTATGCAGAAGCAAAAGCCTTAACCAGCCCCCAGCCCCCTGCCTCTGTGGATCCCTCATGGGACCCTGTCCCCTGCTTCAGGAACCAGATGTGCAAGCATCATGCTCTTTCTTCCCCAACCTCCTTCTTGGAATTCCTCCCCACCCCTGCTGTCTCCCCTAGGCTCTAGTCTTGAATTAAAGAGCTGGAGTCCTAGATTTTACTAAAATGTGGGAGAAGCAGAGCTTGGAGCTTGAAGCTTGAGACCTGGACCCTCTTGCACCCATACCCCCACTTCCCAGGCACCCTGGAGGCTGTTACTACCGGAGAGGTCTCCAAATGACACCCCAAGGACCTACCTCTGTCCTCTGTGAGCACAAACAGAGATGCAGGGTGCCTAGGGCTCAGAGGACCAGACGGGAGCAGGAACTCAGCCTGCCTAGTTCCCCGTCACTCATTCCCTTGCTGTGGCTATAGCTGCCGTTTTCTTCACTGCTTGAAGGCCTCACCTCATACCCTCTCCCCAAGCCCCATCACTCCCATAGCGCTCTGTAAACATGATCAGGAGGACAAGGCCTTTCAGCATGTGTGTTGCTATGTATAAAGAAATTTCCATCAATAAAAGCTGGTCTCTTCTCTCTGTCTGATGTATGTTCCACCCCACCCCATCTCCCTGTCTGCATTCCCACCAGAACTTTGCCTTTTTTTTCCTATCCAGGGCTGGTAATGGGCTGGAAGACAGAGTAGGGTTTGATTTGTGACATTGTTAACACCTCAAAGTCATTCAATAAATAAATGTGTGAAGGGGGTTTGTGACATTGTTAACACCTCAAAGTCATTCAATAAATAAATGTGTGAATGTCTCCCAGCATGAGCACACCTGTTACTGTCTTCAGTGCACTAGCCGGAGGCATCTTTGAAATGGCTAATCTTGGACATGGCCCTTGACTTCTGCCATACACATATTTTACTCATCTGGAAAATGGGAGGGTGGTTTGACCAGGGTCACCAGAGTTCTTCCAGCTCTGATGTTCTGAATCTGAGATGCTACCATTTGAAGAAGCTGTAATATGAGCTTTGAAAATATGATGATTTGGGGACATATTTCATGCAATTCTGTGATTTCTCTTTCTACAGTGTTATGATACTTGGATTCCCCAATCCTATGATTTTAGATTTCGTAATTCTACCATTTAAAATTGTGAGGATATGATTTTAATACTAGGATTCCTTGGTTCTAATGCTGTAACTTTAGGATCTCTGAGAGGAAGCCATTTCCACCAACATGACTGTAAATATTTCCTTAACCTGGCTGGGAGAGGAGATTCTTAAAAGCAGTGGTTTGCAGCCTGTGGATCACTTAAGACCATCGGAAAACACAGATCATTACAGTACAATTCATAACAGTAGCAAAATGACAGTTATGAAGTAGCAATGAAAATAATTGTATGGTTGGGGTCACCACAGCATGAAGAACTAACTGCATTAAAGGGTTGCAGCATTAGGGAGGTTGAGAACCACTGCTTTAAAGGGTGCTATGGAGAGAGAAGGTAGTGCCCTCTATGGATTTTTGCTCCCCCTTCCATCATGTGTTTATATTAGGAAATGGAAAGGTGGGTGGGGAATGGTTGGCCCTAGGAGGCTTCCTGGAGGAAGAAGGGTAAAACTTGGGTCTCAAGTATTGGGAAATATTTGATTAGGTGGCAAGAGGTGGGAAGACATTACAGGGAATAGAATAGGGACCATACGAAAAAAAATACCCACTGGGGTGCTCCAGGGTCAAGTTGGGGATGGTGAGTAATTACTGTGTTCAAATGTCTCTCCAGGGTGTGTGAGTCTAGGTGACCTGTGACTGGGAGAAGGAGATCATCTATGCTTTATAGATGGAAATGGAAGTGGGCAGTGGTTACCTGCATAAAGGAAAGGGGCAAGTCAAGGACAGATGGTCATCCTGGCAACTGTAAGAACCGTAACTCCTATTCAGGCAACTGAAGTGGCTGGATCAAGTAGGGTCTATGCTGTGGAAAGGGAGCAGGCTTATTTCCATTATGAGAAAAATATCCCTCCATGTGTCTGTGCATCTATGTGTACGTGTGTGTGTGTGTGTGTGTGTGTGTGTGTGTCTGCACAGGTCTCATAGTAGCAAGAAACTGTGTGAGCTGTTGTATATCTAAGGAAATGTGGTTATGTGAGACAGAGTGAGGAATTCTGAGAATATGAGGTTTCTGTGTGAGGTTCTGGCTTTCTGTACCTGGAAATCTCTAAGTATGTGCCTAGTGAGTGTAATCACAAGGGTGAGATATGGTTGACTTTTAAACATGGGACTGTGGCTCTTAGGGTACCAATTATCAGGCAGGTGGTTACACACATACAGACATATGTTACCTGCAGATTCAGGGAACAAGGTGGTTGAGCAACAGATGTATGCTAGGCTCTGATCTGGGCATGGTAGCTCCATAAAAGTGAATCATGTGAGGCGACCACTCTTGGAAAACAGATATGGGGTTCAAGAGTGGGCAGTGCATACTTCAAGAGAGATTCACATTAGCTGACGGTAAGGGCCACCAGAAGATGGGTGAGCACGAGACACGGAGGAGACAATACCTGATTCTTGTTGGGTTCTGGGAGGGTAAGAGTGAGTCATAACTGCCTTGGCTGGAAGAGCTGCCTGCTCAGGGTACACAAAATGAAGATGAGCTCATCTAGGCCAGTTAAGTCCAAAGGTAAAAGGAAGAAAAGACATTTTGGACAGGAAAAATAAAGCAAGTCTGTGAGTGAAAGCCCAGAGAGATGATGGATGAGCTTGCTATAGAGGAATTGCAAGTAGCCTATTGTTCCGTTTGGAACATACAGGGCAGAGTGAGAGGCAATAGGAAATGGGGTGGGATGGGGGTGTTAGGAATAAAGAATAATGGGTTGGGACCGGAAATGTTAGGAATAAGGCAGCGTGGGTTGGGACCGCAGGTGGCAGGTCCCTGGTTCCGCACTGGGACCACGAGGATCTCAGTCCTGGGGCGGGTGATGGACAGCAGGCGGATGGGGAAACAGAGACCTGTAGACATGACTCATATTGAAAGTTTTATTGAGGGGGAGGTAAGAAAATAAAGAGACACAGAGATGTAGAGACAGAGAGAGAACAGAAGAGAAGAGGGAGACAGGAAAAGTCCTGTCTGCCCCATTGGAACAGTATAAAGAGTGTGAGTGGGTGGGGGTCTTCCTTTTAAAGGGGTCCTTTGCACCTGTATGCAAACTACATAGCCATGGAACCCTGGTCTGACCAGGTTACTGCCTGAGTCCATTCTGCCAAGTGACTGGGGCAGGCCAGCATAATGCCTGAATTCTTACAGGGGTTGGTGTGGATCTTTGTAACTCAAAGTACAACTTTTGCCTAGGAGATAGGGAAGTTTTCAAGAGAGTTACTTTCACGGCCTGGGCTTTACTTGGATCTGTTGGATTGGATGGTACTTAAAACTTGTTTGTAAAATTCACTCCAGCTCTGTGGATCTCATGAGTCATTGTTCTTAAATGCAGGAGCTTTTCCCATCTAACTTCAGGCTTTCCTACATCCTCGTTTACCACTCCACAAATATTTACCCAATGTCTAGTCCCTTGTGTGCCACTATGGGAAGAAATGGAGCAATGGATCATGCAAGGACCCCACAGTAGAAGGACACAGGAAGAACATGAGCTTTGTATGCAGAGTTATTTTCTGTGTGTGGGGGGGTGGGAGGGTAGGGATTGAACCCCAAAACCTGGAGATGCTAGGCAAATTCTCTGCCACTTAGCCATACTTACCAGCCTCATGTGTTCAGATATGCCTTCTTTTGAGTCTTGGCTCCACCACTACTTACAGGAAACGTTTTGCAACTGAGTTTATCTCTCTGTACCTCAGATTCCCATCTATGTTATATCTCCTTCAGGGAGAAAACCCAGACTTTTCACAGTTGCTAGGCCTAATGAAAAGAGTAAATAAGTTACAAAACTAGTATTTTTCTAGGGTTACACATGAGCAGATCCAGGATTACAACCCAGGTCTTTGGACTCCCAGAATCTGTTTTTCCATTGTTTACCTGGTCAGCCCTCAAGTTAGCAGTTAGCTATTCCAGGCTGAACTTGGGATTGGATTATCTGTGGCACTGAATTGGGCAGCGAAAACATCTTGCAGAAGAGCTAACAGGGGCAGTGGCTGCTGTTCCTTGGTATCCCCTGCCACTCTGTCAGCTCCAACCTCCTTGCCCAGTCCTTTCCCTCTAGAGTCTAAAGCCATTGGTTCCATCTTTGTATTCTCACCTCCTTGTTTTCTTGTATCTCACTTCCAGTCCCTTTCCTTTCCAACGTAAGTTGTCATGGGGATAGTTTCAGCAACCTTGCTTTCCTGTTGCCCTCATCTTATGGTATCCATAGCAACAGTCTCCATTCATTTCCATGGCAACTGCATTCTGATCCCATTCCCTGCTGAATTCCTGACTCTGGGCAGTACCAATAAAGAGAAGGAGGGAAAGAAGATCTCCCCACACTAAACAGGAGTATCATCTGGGAAGGGTCAGTGCCACGCCCTCTGTTATGGTCAGGCCATCCTCAAGTCCCTAGAAGGCATCCTATCCTGCTTCTCCCTATCTTACAGCCTTGGCTTACAAGATTCCCCTCCTCTCATCTCTCCTAGCTCCTCCCAGGCAAAGCACAGTCCACGAGCTTCCTCTCCTAGGAAGACTTCAAGACAGCAGGAGAGCCAGCACAGGCTTTGGGTCTGAATTCCCATCCTGCCAGTTAGTAGCTCTGTGACCTTTGTCATCCAGTTTCCTTCTTAAAGCTGTTTTCTTCCTCTGTAAAACAGGAATCCTAATTCTCCCCTTGTGTTTGCCATGCAGATTAAATAATGTGTGGAAAATGCCTGACACAGGGTAGGTGCATAGTTAAGTGCCAGTTTATTTTTATTCTGCTCAGCCACCCCCAAGCAGAAGGAATCTCTCTCCTTTACTCCCCCACCACTTCCTGTATTCCCCAGCCCTGATAACTTTCCACTTTGTTCTGTGGTTATTTGTGTAGCATGGCTTATTCTCCCCCTCTGCAAAGGATGCTCTCATTTCCCCCTAAAGAATAGTTCAGCAGGCAGTGTGTGTTTGTGTCTACATGTATTCATATCTACTTCCGTGTGGCTATGGATGTGTCTGTGATCTTCTTCTTCTTCTTCTTCTTCTTCTTCTTCTTCTTCTTCTTCTTCTTCTTCTTCTTCTTCTTCTTCTTCTTCTTCCTCTCTCTCTCTCTCTCTCTCTCTCTCTCTCTATCTGTGGGGGGGGGGTTCCATGTGAGTGGCCTGTCACTAAAGTGTTTTAGTGTTTAGGGGCTCTGACTTTATGGGTTCCACACTTCCAGATTCTTCAGCAGTATCTATGATAGCAGGAGCAACCCTTCAAGCAATCTCCATTTCTCTGGCCAAGTTCTCCAATGGGGGGCTGTGCTGCCACCCTACAATTCCTGTAACTGTTCCCGTTGCAATCAAAATGGGGCAAGTTCTCAAGAGAGGAATTACCAAGGAGTAGAGAGCCTGAAGCAGCACAGGGCTGCAAGTAGGAGAGGCACTGAAATATCATTAGAGGGCAGTCTGATCTCTGAGTTTGCATCCTGGCATTCTTACTTAATAGCTACATATGACTGTGAGTTACAATTGTATTAACTACACCTTTCTGCACTATGAAGGGGGTCAACAGTGCCTGTTGCAGGGGGCAGAGATGACTGCAGAACCCTACAATAGCATGAAGGAGGGGCATGTATGTAAGGTAACCTGTGTGAAGGAGGCAAGCAGGTGTAGAAGGGCACACCTGAGCTAAATGTTGATATGTGAGCAGAAGATAGCCAGGTTTGGGTGTGGTATATGGCTCAGGCCAAAGTAAGGAAGTGAGAGGCTGTTCTATTGATGGTAAGTTAGGTTACATCCCTTCTGTGTTCATCTCAATCAGACCAAAAGCCAAAATCTTTATGATAGGCTCAGTGTCCTTTGTATTAGTTTGCTTTTTGTTGCTGTGATAAAACACAAACCATAAGCAACTTGAGGAGGAAAGGATTTATTTCATCTTACACTTCCTGGTAACAGTCCTTACTGAGGGAAGTCAGAGCAGGAATTCAGGGCAGAAACCTGGAGGCAGGAACTGAAGCAGAAACCATGCTGCTTACTGGCTTGCTGTCTATGGCTTGCTCTGCCTGCTTTCTTACATACCCCAGGACCCCCTGCCTAGGATGGCACCATCCACAGTGGGCTGGGCCCTCCCACATCAATCATTAACCAAGAAAAAGCCCACACATATGTCCACAATCCAATCTGATGGAGGCAAATCTTCTGAAGCTCCCTGTTCCCAGGTGACTCCCTTGTGTTGAATTGACAAAAACTAACTAGTACAACTCTCGCTGCCTGTCTCATGTTATCTCTCATTACTCTCTTGTTCACTATGTTCTGGTTATACTGTCTTTTTTTATTGATCCTTAAATATGTAGACATGTTGTGCTGACTACTCTCTTGCCTCAGACAGCTATACAGCTCACTCCCTCATTTCCATCAGGGTTCTGTTTCTATGTCATCCCCCCTACCCTGGGCTTTCCTGGACACCACATCTAAAATAACAACACATTTGGCTGGGTTTATGGCTCAGTGGTAAAGTGCTTGCTGAGCCTGCATAATTCTTTAAGTTCTAGCCCTAGTCTGTCTTTGTCTCTGTCTCTCTCTTCCTCTTTCACATGCGTGTGCGTGCACGTGCACACACACACACTTGATTAAAACAGCATCTTTTTACTCTGCTTTATTTTCCATCTTAACACTTAGCACTACTTAAAACATTTGCTTCTTTCTTTCTTTCTTTCCTTTCTTTCCTTTCTTTCTTTTCTTCTCTCTTCTTTCTTTCTTTCCTTTCTTCTGTGTCTGTTTTCTTCACTATAATATCACCTTCCTGCGGGGCATTGGTGGCACACGCCTTTAATCCCAGCACTCGGGAGGCAGAGGCAGGCGGAGCTCTGTGAGGTTAAGGGCAGCCTGGGCTACAAGAGCTAGTTCCAGGATAGGCTCCAAAACGACACAGAGAAACCCTGTCTCGAAAAACCAAAAAAAAAAAAAAAAAAAAAAATCACCTTCCTGAAGAAATAATTTTGTGGCTTTGCTTTTTATTCTATTTCCGGTGCTTGACACACAGAAAGTGCTTGGTTATTGTTTGTTGAGTGAATTATAGGAAGCTGTGGCAGGATTTGATGAGAAAGCAAGATGGGCTAATTTGTATGTTTCAACGTTCTCACTATCTAAGGAAAGAGGAGAGATTTGCAAATAAGACTGGAGTTTGTGGTATAAATTTGGGTGAGAGTCTTATTAAAGCAACTGCCAAGAATATTCACTGACTCCCTCATGCCAGGAGCACCTACTCTGGTCTAGGCCCCGTGCCTTTGCCAGCCAGATAGGAGTTTACAAAATTCTCTTCCTATGCTGGGATACTGAGAGTTATGCGTTCTTTGCCAAAGCCAGTCTGTGCAAGAAAAGGGAGCTGTATGCAAAGGTCGGGGCTCTGTGCAAGATCAGTAGTAATTTCTAGCTAGTGGCCAGAAATTCAGGGGGCCTCTCAGTAGGGAGATAGGACTTGAATCTAAACAGAGCTAGCATGTGGGGGCATTTCTTAGATTGTACTATCAGAAATGATGGGGATGGCACTGACAGTGGAAGATAGTATATGAGCAGTTTGGGAGGTAAGGGGCTGAGGAACATTTGAGAAAAACAGAATCTGGGGCTGAGGTAATTTGATTAGGGGTTGCTTAATGATTGAGAGTGCGAACAGCTGGGCAGTGGTGGTGCACGCCTTTGATCCCTGCATTTGGGAGGCAGAGGCAGGTGGATCTCTTTGAGTTCCAGGCCAGCCTGATCTACAAAGAGTGTGAACTCTGAAGTCATGCTGCCTAGATTTGACTTCTGCCTCTATTGTTGGTAAATAAAGACAAATAACAACCATATAGGGTTGTTAGAACAACCAAGTTATAGAGTTTAGGTGAGAACAGTACCTAAACACAAGTGTTCTAGAAGGATCCATTGTCTGTTGAACCCTGGAGAGGCCTTCAATGCCAGAATGGTTGGAAATTGGACTAACTTGTAGGCAGTGAGAGCTGTGGATGTTTTGTGGGTAGAGGAGATGGTTGACCAAAGCTGGGTTTCAAATGAGTACTGGTAGTGGAGACGTTTAAGGAGGTTGGTGAGCAGGATCCTGAGAGAGACAAGAGGAGTGTCTTTGATAATGGGCTGGGTCTAACTTGTGGAGGGTGACATCAGGGGCTTCTGAGTTCTAAGAGGAAGAAGAATTTAGGGTGGAAAGCAGTCTTCAGTCTGGTGCTCACTAGTACTTGGGAGGGTGGAGGATGAACAGTGAGTGAGAGTTCCCATCAGGGCAGAGCCCAGCTCCACTGCCCGACCTCCAGCACAGAGGGCAGCTGTCCCTAGACAGCACAAGCTCTTGTGCTAGTAGGTAGCCCCTTCCACCCACCCAACTTGCCCTTGCCTTGTACCCTGGCTTCTGCCAATAGAGGCTGGGGAGAGGCCCTTTAATACTTTTACTAGCCAGGAGCTCCCACAGCCTATACTACTTCCCCCAGGTTAAAAAAAAAAGATCGTTCTTTTAGCCACACCCATTCTCCCACAACCTCCTCCACGCCTCAGCCTTCCTGGTTCTCCCCACCTCTGTGCTTCTCACCATGCCCTGAAGCTCTGCCGCCACCTGGGTTCCCTGGCAGCCTGGTTGCCATGGCACTGTGGGAGCAGGTCTGGAAGAACAACAGCTCTAGGTAACCCCAGCAGGCAAGACCTGGGACCCAGCTCCTGCCACCTTCCTGCTTGAGAACCCCCTGCCCTGCTCCCCCAGCTGAGCAGAGGAGGCCATGAGGAGAAAAAGGAAGCTTCCCCGCAGGGCAGCTCTTTACCTGTGAGGATGCTGAATGGGAGGCACTTCCCACTGTGGCCCAGCCTGTGCCTTCACCCTGCCCTCTCACCAGCAGCAGCAGCAGCACCAGCAGCAGCAGTAACAGCAGCAGTAACAGCAGCAGCAGCAGCAGCAGCAGCCTGGGAACCCTGGGAACTGGCCAGGCCTGGACTCCAGGCTGCTAAGGGCAGGGGCAGGGCACAGGGGCAGGTCTGGGTGGGGGAGGGGAGAACCTGGATGGGCAGGGTACAGGAATCATCAAACAAGGCTGGGAGGGGGCTATATGTCAAGCAAACTGGTCTGGGGTAGTTCTGGGGAAATCACTGCATGGGGGTATAAGAGGATAGAGCTGGGAGGGGAAGAGGTCAGGGACGGGACAACTAGGCTATCAGGGGAAGGTCTGATGTTGGAGCTGCTAGGGACAGGAGTGGGAGGATACTAGGGGTAGGGTTGTGACTGAATCAAATTATGAGGAGTGGTGTGTAGGACTGAGAACAGAACTGATAAAACACCCTTGAGGGAGCAGTGTCTCAGAACGGGAGTTATGGAGATGGGGCTCCAAAGGGAAGGAACTGAAAGGGAATGAAGATAAACAAGGGCACTTGAGGAAAGGAGCCGTGTAGGCAGTGAGGAGACAGATTGATGGGTCTCTTAAATGTTGGGGTCACTAGGTATCTGAGGAAATGGGAGAAGATGGGGTGTATTCACTCAGTTGGGCCTAGCAAACCTCTCTCCTGTTGCCACATCCTGGCTCATTTTATCTCATCCCCACAGTGTGGAGGGTGATGCCCCAAGCAGTGACCTGAGCACAGCGGTTGATAGTCCTGGGAGCCAACCCCCCTACCGACTGAGCCAGCTGCCCCCCACCAGCAGCCACATGGGGGGCCCCCCTGCTGGGGTGGGCCTTCCTTGGGCTCAGAGGGCACGCCTCCAGCCGGCCAGTGTCGCCCTGAGGAAGCAGGAGGAGGAGGAGATAAAGCGCTCCAAGGCCCTGTCAGACAGCTATGAACTCTCCACAGACCTGCAGGACAAGAAGGTGCAGAAGAGATACTCTGGTTGCAAATGGGAGTGGTATGCAGAGAGCTAAAAGAGGGGGTTGGGGTGTGGTACTTGAGGGTGGTATTCATGAAGGGACACTAAGGCTGGAACTGGAGAAGACTGGCTCCAGGACCTGTCATTGTACAGGTGACTCACATTCACTGCACATGCACTAAGTCTCCTAGTCACTTAGCAAACATTATTGTACTCCAATAATGGGGTCCAAAAGATGAATGAGACCTGCATCCAGCCTTCAAAGACATGGAATCTAAGGGGGGGGGCACACACATTTAACAGTTTCACAGTGTGGTGCAATACACTGTCTAGAGGGGCTCTCGGGAGGGAGGGAGGGAGGAAGGGAGGAAGGGGGGACAATATACAAGATTGCAGAAAAATAGAGCCTGGAAGAGCAATTATCAACACATTGGTTAAGGCTATGCCTAGATGTTTGGACTGCTGATGAATCCTCCCTCAACCCCTCCTGTCTTTCCTTCCTTCCTGCTTTTCTTTTACTCTGATTCTCTTTCTTCTTTCAACTACTACTACTCATTTAGTGTTTCTTTCACTTGTTTTGGTTTCTCTAAGCTTTTTCTGATTTGAAATAATATGTTTCCTTTTTTCTCTTGTGATTGTATATATCTTGGGACTATACGTGAGAAAACACTGGGCACAGAGCCTATCATGACTTCCAGCACTTAGTTGTGACTTGCATGGGGTATGGTTGAGGATCAAGGCCACGAGGCTCTGGCAACTTTCTGAACTTGTTCCTCTGACAGGTGGAAATGCTGGAGAGGAAGTATGGGGGCTCCTTCCTGAGCCGAAGGGCTGCCAGGACCATCCAGACAGCCTTTCGCCAGTATCGTATGAATAAGAACTTTGAGCGGCTGCGCAGCTCAGCTTCAGAGAGCCGCATGTCCCGCCGCATCATCTTGTCCAACATGCGGATGCAGTTCTCTTTTGAGGAGTACGAAAAAGCACAGAACCCTGCATACTTCGAGGGCAAGCCTGCCTCACTGGATGAGGGTGCCATGGCTGGTGCCCGGAGCCACCGGCTTGAACGGGGTCTCCCCTATGGAGGCTCCTGTGGTGGGGGCATCGATGGTGGTGGAAGTTCAGTCACCACATCTGGCGAGTTTTCTAATGACATCACAGAGCTCGAGGACTCCTTCTCCAAACAGGTCAGGAGCCCTGAAAGGGGCTTTTCTTCTCCATTCCCAGGCTCTGGCTGCTTTTACTGTTTTTTATCTATTTTCCAAACTGCAAGAATTTGCACTCCTGAGCACTTAATAGCAAGAATAGCAGCGATTTTAATTGACACTTTGAGAGTGATGAGAATTGTTAACATGAGAAAATTACAGCTGAGTGTATACCTATAATTGAAGCACTGACAGGACTGAGGCAGAAGGATTAAGAACACCTATTAAAAAAAAAAGGCACCAAAACAAACAAACCAAAAAACAAATGAACAAAAAACCCTAAGGCAGACATGTAGCTTAGTAGTAGAACACTTGCCTAGCATGTACCAGACCCTGTGTTTCATCTCCAGCACTGTTAGGGGGAAAAATGCATTGCTAAAACAAGCATGTTAGAATATGGATGCATAGGGCCAGTAAGATGGCTTAGTGGGGGAAGGCACTTGCTGCCAAGCTTGATGACCTAGAATCCACACTATGTAAGGAGAGAACAGATCATTTATTTTAATTATTTTATTTTTATGTTTGTGTATTTCTGTGTGTATGCCAGGTATGTACAGTTGCCCAAAGAAGCTAGAAAAGGATGTCAAGTCCCCAGGAGCTAGTGTTGAAGGCAGTTAAAGGCATCTGGCATGGGTGCTGGGAACCAAACTCAAATCTGCTGCAAGAGCGGTATATATTCTTAACCACTGAGCCATCTCTCCAGTCCATAAAAATATAAAAAGATTTGTTTATTTTCTTTTATATGTTTGGGTGTTTTGCCTAATTGTATGTATGTGTACCTGTTGCATTCAAAAGAGGGTGTCTGATCCCATGAAACTGGAATTATGAATGATTGTGAGCCACCCATGGGTGCTGGGAACTGACTTGGGTCCTGTGAAAGAGTAACAAGTGCTCTTAACTGCTGTGCTGCTAGTTTTATGTCAACTTGACAGACAGAGTCATTTTAGAAGAGGAAACCTTAGTTGAGAAAATGCCCATGTTAGATTGGCCCATGGGCAAGCCTGTGGTGAATTTTCTTGGTTGATTGATGTGGGAGGGTCCAGCTCACATCAATCAGAGGTGGGCTGTGCCACCCCTGGCTGGTGGTCCTGGGTGCTATAAGAAAGCATATTGAGCCAGGTGGTGGTGGCACATGCCTTTAATCCCAGTACTCATGAGGCAGAGGCAGAGGCAGAGGCAGAGGCAGGCAGATCTCTGAGTTCAAGACAAACCTAGCCTTCAGAGTGAGTTCCAGGACAGCCAGGGCTAAACAGAGAAATCCTGTCTTAAAAAAACAAAATGTAAACAAAACAAACAAAAGAAAAAGAGAAAGGAAGGAAAGAAAGAAAGAAAGAAAGAAAGAAAGAAAGAAAGAAGGTTGAGCCAACCATGGGGAGCAAGCCAGTAAGCAGCACTCCTTCATGGCTTTTATATCAGTCCTGTCTCCAGGTTCCTGCCTTGAGTTTCTGGCCTGACTTCCCTGTATGATGTAAAATTAAATAAACAAGTTACATTCAGTCATAGTTTTATCAAAGCAATAGAAAGCCTAACTAAAATAGAAATTGGTACAAGGTTCATGGGACATTGCTGTGAGAGACCTGGACCATGTTTTGGGGATGATTATGGAAGGACTTTGAAACTTTGGGCTAGAAAAGTAATAACAGATGAGACAATTCTCCAGTCCTGGGAAATGATTCTTGAAAGTTTTCCTTTCACCTGTGCATATGTACTGTGACATACAAGCACATGTGCAGACACATGCACATGAGTACACACACACACACACACACACACACACACACACACACACACACACACACAACACTCAATAAAATGAATATGTAGAACAAATAGGAAAACAAAAAGTCCCCACTGTTTGAAACTTGATATAATAGCAAATAAATGCTTTACTAACAGATAATGAGCACCTGCTGGATGCCAGGTACTCTGTATGCTTCACAACAGATCTGTAAGGCAGAGTATTTTCCTCATTTCATAAAGGAGGAGACGGTGGCTGAGGCTTGTGCTCTGCTCCATATTCTCCAGGATCTCCCAGTCTGGTAGACGGTAGAGGACATACAGGTGCATGGCCATATCCTAAAACAGAATGTGTTCAGAAACAGCAGGGATTCTAGGAGGACCAGAGAAGTTTCTTGGAGAAAACAGCATTGTAACTAGGCCTTACAGGACTGAAAAGATGTAGCTAGTTAGAGATGTTGAAGATGGCATTGTTTGCCCAGGCATTGATTGCATCAGCAAAAACATGCAATGATAGGAATGGGCATGGCAGTGAGTAGAATGCGAGGTTGTTCTAAGCTGAGGCTATTTTCGCATGGCTCCCTGGGTGAAAATCCCACTTGTGCCATTTCATAGCCATATGACTGCCAGCAAATGGTTTCACCATTTGATCAGCAACAGGGAGAGAAAGCTTTCTTTTCAGTGCTGTTTTGGAGCTGTTGTGAAGATGCATTTCGACTAGGTAACATGTATGAAAGCACCTGGTATTTGGTAATGGCTAAGTGAGTTGTTTTTTGGTAGAAATTGTTGAATGAATGAAACCTTAGAAAAGAAGAAATCACTGTGATCTAAACTCTGTTATCTGACCCTATCATTGGTCTAGCATGCTTCTCTGAGGCTAGTTAAAAGATGGAAGGAAGGAAAGAAGTAATGAAGGGAATATCTGTAGCATCCAGCCATTCATTTATATGATCATTAAGCATCTTTCCTGTGTCAAGCGGTAGCTGATCTAAAATAGAAGCTGAGCTTGTACCTATTCCTCAAGGGAAGAATAGAGACTAGGAGAATACCATCTGATGAAAGAACCAGGTCTGATCCTAGCACTCTGTGCTAAGTCAGATGTGGGGGAAATATATTATTTACCAATTTCTGTACAGCAAACTACCCCCAAATTTAGTAACTTCAAACTGACCTTAGGGTCCAGTGAGATGGCTCAAATAGGTAAAGGGACTTGCTGTGCAAGCCTGGTGACCTGAATTCAATCCCTGAAACCTTTGTGAAGGTAGAAAGAGAGGACCCAGTGATGCCAAGTTGTCCTCTGACCTTTACACAATGCTGTGGCTTATGTACTTACACCCACACATCATGTGCTCACAGACACAGTAATAATAAATTTGAAATCAAATTAAAAACAAACCTGACATTAGAACAAAGAAACAAACTATCTATTTTTATTTGAACAGAGTTGTTCAAATTTGATCAGCAACAGGGAGAGAAAGCTTTCTTTTCAGTGCTGTTTTGGAGCTGTTGTGAAGATGCATTTCGACTAGGTAACATGTATGAAAGCACCTGGTATTTGGTAATGGCTAAGTGAGTTGTTTTTTGGTAGAAATTGTTGAATGAATGAAACCTTAGAAAAGAAGAAATCACTGTGATCTAAACTCTGTTATCTGACCCTATCATTGGTCTAGCATGCTTCTCTGAGGCAAGTTAAAAGATGGAAGGAAGGAAAGAAGTAATGAAGGGAATATCTGTAGGCTGGCCTCAAACTTGAGGTCCTTTTAGCTGAGCCTCTGGAGTGCTATAATTACAGGTGTGCACCACACACTCACAACAACAAACATTAATTATGCAGTTTCTGAGGGCCAGGAAGCTGTGAGAGGCATGGCTGAATGATTCTGCTTCCGGGTCTCTCAGGAGACTGCTGTCAAGCTGTGTAGGACACAGTCTCAGAAGACTGGACTGGGCTGGCAGGTTAACTCCTTTTTTGGCAGTTCTTCTCCCTTAAGACTGTTCACAGTGTGGCTTCCCTTAGGCAAGGGTTGCAAAGGAGTACAAGTCAAAGGGAGCTTTCAAGACAGAATTTGCAGTATTTGACAGTGTCATTCCAGAAACGACATACCTTCATTTCTACCCTGTGTTATGGGCCAAACAGACCAACTCTAGTGTAGTGGGCATCGAAGATTATGAATACCAGTAGGAAGAGATCGTTAGGAGCCAGTTTGGAAGCGAGGTATACAGGGAGGTATAGTTCAGATTCTCAAGAGTAAATATTATGGATTTCCTAAGAGATATTTACACAGAGAGCTCTGGGAGGAAGCTGAGATTGGGGTTTTCCCTGGATGGAAGTTGAGATGGTATGACAGAGGTAAGAGTGTGGCTTGAATCAGGGAGGAGGTAGTATTTGACTTGGGTTGATACGGAGATGGACATACTGGAGTGTCTGGGAAGGCATCTTGTCGTTTAGTCCTAGCCTCTGTGAACTTGCAGTGACTGACTCCCTGGGAGGTATTTTGTAAATTGTTAAGAAGCTATGGAACAACAGACAATGAACCCAATGGCATTTTTGTAGCTTTCTTATCTCATAATGCTTTGCTTGGGATTTTTTTTTTTTTTTTTTTTTTTTTTGTTTTTCGAGACAGGGTTTCCCTGTGTAGCTTTGGAGCCTATCCTGGCACTCGCTCTGGAGACCAGCCTGGCCTTGAACTCACAGAGATCCACCTACGTCTGCCTCCTGAGTGCTGGGATTAAAGGCATGCACCACCAACACCCGGCTGTATGTTATGGTTTCTGATTTTGTGTTTTTATGGGATTTTGATTGTGTGTGTGTGTGTGTGTGTTTCTTGTGCTTTTTCTTTGTTTTATTATTATTATTTTTCTGGTTTGATTTTTGTTTTCTAAAGAGAGAAAGAAGGCATGGAGTTGGGTAGTTAGGGAGGATCTGGGAGGAGTTGGGGAGGGGAAACTGTGATCAGAATATGTTGTATGAAAATAAATTTATTTCCGATAAAAATATACATACATATATAAAAATAATAAGGGGCTGGAGAGCTGGCAGGTTTGAATCCCAGAGCCCACATGGTGGCTCTAAAACTCCAGTTTCAGAGGATTTGGTACCCTTTTCTGACACCAGGCACGTGTGGTATACAGACATAAATTCAGGCAAAATGCCCATACCCACAAACATAAATAAATAGATAAATAATTTGAGAGTTTAAAATAAAGAACATATGAACAGGGGGGATGATGATGACACAGACACCTGCTTTCTTGGCTGACCTACCAGGAAGCTTTCCCTCCTTCCCTTCCCTTCTTCTCTCCTTCTGATCCTTGTACCATTCCTCCCGTCATCATTCCTCCCTTTCCTTCTTCAACTTCACTGTGTACAGGTTAAGTCTCTGGCTGAATCCATCGATGAAGCCCTGAACTGCCACCCATCAGGGCCTATGTCTGAAGAACCAGGGTCAGCCCAGCTGGAGAAGCGGGAATCAAAGGAACATCAAGAGGACAGCTCAGCCACATCCTTCAGTGACCTTCCCCTCTACTTGGATGACCCAGTTCCTCCTCCATCACCTGAGCGAATGCCCAGCGCAGAGCCCCCACCCCAGGCCCGCCCTGAATTCTGGGCACCAGCTCCCCTCCCACCAGTTCCTCCACCGATGCCACCAGGGACCCGGGAAGATGGTAGCCGTGAGGAGGGCACTCGAAGGGGTCCTGGGTGCTTGGAATGCCGGGATTTCCGGCTCCGGGCTGCGCACCTTCCCCTCCTTACCATTGAGCCTCCCAGTGACAGTTCTGTAGACCTGAGTGACCGCTCAGATCGCGGCTCTGTCCACCGCCAGCTGGTGTATGAGGCTGATGGCTGCAGCCCCCATGGGACCCTGAAGCACAAGGGGCCACCAGGCAGGGCCCCAATCCCACACCGCCACTACCCTGCCCCTGAGGGTCCAGCTCCAGCCCCACCAGGGCCCCTGCCACCAGCCCCCAATAGTGGCACTGGGCCTAGTGGTGTGGCTGGAGGTCGGAGGTTGGGAAAATGTGAGGCAGCAGGTGAGAACTCTGATGGTGGAGACAATGAGAGCCTTGAGAGCTCCAGCAACTCCAATGAGACCATCAACTGCAGCTCTGGCTCCTCTTCTCGGGATAGCCTGAGGGAACCTCCAGCCACTGGCCTGTGCAAGCAGACTTACCAGAGGGAAACAAGGCACAGCTGGGACTCACCAGCCTTCAACAATGATGTGGTCCAGAGGCGGCATTACAGAATTGGCCTCAACCTCTTTAATAAGTATGTGCTGTCAGTTCTAGCCTCCTTACCTCTTCCCACCCTGCATGGATACCTCGTTTTAGGACCTGGATCCAAGCAGTGACCTTGGTTCTGCCATCCTGTCATTTGGTGAAATGGTATTTCTTCCCAGATGGTCAAGGATGAGGACTAGGTGGCCAAAGATGGATGCAGTGGTTCACACTTGGAAATCTTAGCACTCAGTAAACTTTAGTCAAAGGGATTGTCACAAGTTAGAAGACAGCCTGGGCTCTGTTGTGAGCACCAGGCCAGCCTAGGCTACAGAGTAAGACACTGTCTCAAAAAAATTAATCAAACTAAGAAATAAAGGTGCAAACACAGAGTTGCAGAATAGAGAGGCTCCCAGTGTGCCTGAGTTCGGGTCCTAGGGCTTTCAATATCTGTGTGTATGCTCTTGAGCAAGATGGCAAGATGTTCCTGCAAAATGGCTTCCAGGTGTTGTCGTCCCTATACCCCCTCTTTCAGAGGAGAGGCAATCTAGAATATAAAAGACTGAAAACAAGGACCCTGAATCTGCCTTTGTTCACTCATTGTGTAGACTTAGGTAACTTGTGTTCCTTCTTTGGGCTTCAATTTTTTTCATCTTTCTGTAAATAGGGTTGTGTATTTGGCGGCAGTCTGGTGTGACTAACGGTGACTAAGCTCTTTCTAGGTGCCTGGTCCTGTGCCAGGTGCTTAGGAATGGGGGTGAGAGTGTGGCATTTGATTAGAAAATAATTAGAAAACATAAGATGTAATTAGAAAACATTAGATATAATGGAAGGCATTTGATGTAATGCCTCACATCTTTATAGTTTGTCAAACACTGCCACCTATATTTAATTTCCACAGTAACTCAGCAAGGCTGGTGGTAATGTTCTTATTTTAGAGATAAGGAACTAAGACCCACAGACGTAAAAGAGGCTAGCCAAAGCCATACAGTTTGAAAGTGATTGGTTAGAGACTCCTAGGACATTCAAGTCCAAACTTCCAAACTCTAGTTTCATGGGGGTCCTAAGTCATTCAAAGTTCTGCATATGGGATAATTCCAAGCCAGATTTTGTTGACCTCACTCTCTGAAAAGATTGGCAACACCTTATCTGAAGAAACAACCACAGAGGCTGGGTAGGATGTAGGACATGGAACAAAGTGACCACTTCTTCCTGTCCTAAGAGTCCTAAAAAGGAGTCTTGGTCTAGAGCTCAGGCCTTTCCTCAAGGCTCTCTGATGGTTGCTGGGACTATCCTGGCAGAGAGTAGGCTCCCATTTCAATATTTATTTTCTCCCGACCGTGGTATGCCTCCAGTAAAAGAGGAAATTAGTGAGGATGCCTTGGAATTTTGAAACTCTGTGCAACGGGCAAGTAGTTTCTTATTGTGCTGTGGTGTTTTTATCTGTACCCTGAAGGAATTGGACCACATTAGAGATCCTCGGCTCTCTGAAGCCTTGGTTAGTGGGGCCCCAAATCAGTTCTAGAAACGAACCAGGTGCAGTTCTAGAGGAACAACTATGTCACCTACCTCTTCTTTTTCTGCAGGAAGCCAGAGAAGGGTATCCAGTATTTGATCGAGCGAGGTTTCCTGTCAGACACTCCTGTGGGGGTGGCTCACTTCATCCTGGAGCGGAAAGGCCTGAGCCGGCAGATGATAGGGGAATTTCTGGGGAACCGGCAGAAGCAGTTCAACAGAGATGTGTTGGAGTGAGGACCCCAACATGGGGCAGGCGGGCTAGGGATTCCTGGAAAAGGAAGGCAGGAGGGAGGAAGGGGGCAGTTCATGTTTTTTCCTCAGATAAACTTTTTAAAACAAGATGAATAGATTTCCCTGTTCCCATAGTCCTCTGCTCCTAAAGGGTCTTATGTCTCTTGACTCTATTCCTAAAGCCTTCTAAGAGTGGTTCTCCGCAGGGCATGCTCATCTAATAGTTTGCTTTGGGCCTCAGTTTCCCATCACTGAAATGAATAGATTAATGAAAAGCACTCCTAGTGCCTTGAGTTTTCTTATTTCAGCCTCAAATGTTCTGTTCTCAGGTGTTACAGGTTCAAAGTTTGGGAGCATGTCATTGGGAGTGTTGGGCTGCTTGTGCGAGTGGGTGGGTCAGTGGTTTGAGTAGAGAAACGAAGAGGCCACTACCCACCCTGCTTCTTGACTTTTCAGCTGTGTGGTGGATGAGATGGACTTCTCCTCTATGGATTTGGATGATGCACTCAGGAAGTTCCAATCTCATATTCGAGTTCAGGGTGAGGCCCAGAAAGTGGAGCGACTCATTGAAGCCTTCAGGTGTGCCTGCTTCCCACTCCTGAAGCCGCCCCATTCTCCTTTGGGGCCCTATTTCCACAGGGCGCTTCTCTGAGCATTTTAATTTTCACCATGAAACAGAAATGAAGGTCCGGTGTGGTGAGGGAAGAGGCAGGAGGATCTCTGGGTTTGAGGCCAGCCTGGTCTACAGAGTGAGTTCCAGGACAGCCAGGGCTCCATTGAGAGACCCTGTCTCAAAGAAACAAAAGAAAACAAAAACTAACCAACCAAGCAAAAATCCAGAAATGATAAATCTCACCTTGAGAGGCATTTATGAGGTTCAGAGGTAGTGAATATAAAGTGTCTAGCTCTAGCAACTGAGATACAGGCATATTAGTAAGCTACAACATCAGTAGTAAATGGTGACATTCGTGGATCTGTGTGTGTAAATCAGTGATAGATCATTTGCCTGTTGCATGACTATGAGTCTTTGGTTTCTATGCACAGTGCTGGAAAAAAAGACTATCATTCTATGAGGTGGATGCTTCTATTGCTATTTCCATTTTGTAGATGACAAATCTGAAGTCCAGGGACATTAGAGTAATTTAGCAGAACCAGGATTTGAACTCGAGTGTATCTAATGCCATGATATCTATGCTCAGCTGTAAATGCTTTGAAGATCAAACAGAGCTGGGTCTAAGTCTTGCTCCACCCCTTGGGAGCATTTACAGGAGAGATGGAGGAATTGCTGAGAACTCATTTCCCATTATGGGAGAAAGACTTACTTTGCAGCCATATGATCTGTTTTCACCCCAGCTTTAACATTCACCAGCTCTATTGCCTGGGCAAGTTGCCTCACCACTCTGAGCCTTAGTTACATCCTGTGTGAAATAGGACTGCTTGGGAGTTGGAGGTGTGGTTCAGTGGTAGAGCATATGCTTAGCATGCTCAAGGCCCAAGGTTCAATCCCCACCACTACAAACCAAAGAAATAGGGAAATAGCAGTCTTTCAGTGGTGTGATCAACTGCCTGACAGTGTACATGAGTCTCCTGGGAAAGCTCCTAGAAGGTATTTATGACTTTTTCATGGTAGTATCAGGGAAATTGAGGAGGAAAGACTCCGAATACTAAGGGAGTGTTTCTTGAAGGAAAGGGTTTATGATGGCAACCTGGGCAAATGGTGGGTAGGTGGAGATTGCTGGCACCTAAGTCTAGACTTGACCCTTGTTGTCTCACAGCCAGCGGTACTGTGTCTGTAACCCTGCCCTTGTACGCCAGTTCCGGAACCCAGACACCATATTCATCCTTGCTTTTGCCATCATCCTCCTCAATACGGACATGTACAGCCCCAGTGTCAAGGCTGAACGCAAGATGAAACTGGATGACTTCATTAAGAACCTGAGAGGTGACAAAAAATTCCCATCTATTTTTCTTGCCCGTCATCAGAGAAAAGAAACGGGGGTGGGGATGGGAGTAGGGTGAGAGAGATCCCAGATGTCCTTATAAATTAGCCTTCAATGCTGTCACTTTATCTCATGGCTGGATGTCCCCAGGTCGTTCACTTGTTAATTCACTCAAATAGTTATTTGCCACAGCCGGGCGTTGGTGGAGCATGCCTTTAATCCCAGCACTCGGGAGGCAGAGGCAGGAGAAGCTCTGTGAGTTCGAGACCAGCCTGGTCTACAAGAGCTAGTTCCAGGATAGTCTCCAAAGCCACGGAGAAACCGTACCTCGAAAAAAAAATTAGTTATTTGCCAGGCTGTGTGGGTAGCTCAGTAGCAGAGTGCTTAACTACCATGTGCAAGGCTCTGAGTTTGATTTCCAGAACTGCAAAGAAAAACCACTTGTTTATCCATGTACTCACTCTCAGACCAGCTATTTACTAAGTATTGGCTCAAGTTGAGAGTTTGTCTCAAAAAACAAAGCAAAATTATCCTCGCTTTTAAACTATTTCACTCAGTTATCCTTTCATCCATTTCTTATTATGGCTTTTCTTGTCTTTTCTGTTTACAACCAGAAAGACTCATTTGATTACTCTGAATACCTTTCCCTCCATTCATTTATTCATTCAACCAACCAGTCAGCCAGTTGACACCTACCGAATGCTAAATGTGTACCAAGTAAAATGAGTACCGAGGCCAATGGAGGGGAGTCGCTGTAGTCTCTGTTCTTAGAGATCTTCCAGCTTGAGGGAAAGATTGACATGTAGTGCCTAGATAACCACGCTAAGATAGAAAGTGAACATCGATTGTCAAAGAGGCCAAAAGACAACCTAAGCTCAAAGGAAGGAGAGCTTACCTCCTACTGCTTCCCAGAGGACTTGTATTTTAAGGTGAGCCTTGAAGATGACAGACTAAAAATAGAGGAGGGCTTACCCAGCAGAAAGAACAACAGAGGCCCAGACAGACAAGACTGTGAAAATGTTTAGAGAACAACTGAGATGAGGTGGATGAACACTTGGGAAGGTCAGATGGGTCCGCTATCGGAGGTCCTGCAATTGCAGATAAATGATGTTACTTTGATCTTTTCTTTTGGTTTATTGTAGCAATGTCAAGCCCTAGATCTCAACCGAAGAGCAGCCTACTAAATTGGCACAGATACTGTGATTATTTCAAAAGAAATGAAAGAAGGGAAATAGAGATAAGGAAAACAAAGCAAAGTTGCCGACTGTCATAATTTACGTAGTTGAAGGCTTTAAGCTGTCTGGCAGCCAAGTTAAAAAAAAAAAGGCAGTAGGGAGAAGAATGTACTTTTAGCACTTGTGCATGGAAGAAATATGGTATTTCCAAAGGAGAAGTCACTTTTTCTTAGCAGAGGCTTTAAAGAGAAGAGTAAGAAGGTTTCACTCAGCATAGTCAAGAGTGAAGAAAGATGGTGGACTTAAGAAGAGGAAGTCAGATTGGAGGGAACCCAGAGCTGTTTCCCTTAATCTTGCCATTATTCATTCATCCATATACGATATATACAGTCAGTCCTCCATACCTGTGGGTTCTTCATCAGTGAATTCAGCCATCTGTAGACATCTGGAAAAAACCTTGTGTCTGTACTGAATATTGCAAACTTTTTTCTTGTCATTATCCCAAATAATATAGGAAAACCAATGTTTACATAGCATTAGCATTGCAGTAGATATTATAAGTATATACAGATTATTTAAAGTAACAAGAGAATTATGTAGGTTATATGAAATACCACCCCATTTTACAAGACCAACACCTCAGCATTTGGCAACTGTTTTTGACTGTCCTATTTTATATATGAGATATGAGCCTTTGGGTATTGATGGAAGATCTTGGAACCAATCTCCTATGGGTATGGAGGGAAGAGAGAGAGAGAGAGAGAGAGAGAGAGAGAGAGAGAGAGAGAGAGAGAGAGAGAGAGAGAGACTATATATTTCCTCCAGTTATTGAATAAATAAGCAAACAAGCAAATGAAAGTAATACATGCTTATTTTAGGAATGTGTGGCATGAGGCTATATTTCAGCAACAGCCTGTACTTAATATTCATGAGACCCCTGGGTTTAATGTTCAGCACTGCCAAAAATTATTTTCCTTACATTTATACATTTATTTGTTTATCTATTGGTGTGTGTGTGTGTGTGTGTGTGTGTGTGTGTGTGTGTGTGCATTCAGAAAGGAATTTATTAGGCGTGCAGTGCATGTGTGTGTTATGTGTGAGTGCACACATGCCATGCTGTTCATGTGGCGGTCAGAGGATGGATGACTTGCAGGAGTTGCTTCTCTTCTTCCACCATGTAGGTTCTGGGGATGGAACTGAAACCATCAGACTTAGCAGCAGGCACCCTTACCTGCTTAGTCATCTTTCTGGCCCTCATGTAGTTTATTATCTTACTCTTTTCACTTAACTTGATACAAGGATTTTCTCACATTATTGAAATATTTTGGTAAACATCAAGTTTATAGAAAAGTTTCCTTTACTTAGTTATTTGTCTGTTGTTAGAAATTAAGCTGTTTCAGAATTTCTCCACAAATAGCACCAAGTGAAACATTCTTTGACATCAAGCTCACATGTATTTCTGAATAATTCCTTAGGATAGATTCTTTGGAAGGGAATTGATGGGTTTGGGTATTTAGGGTTCTGCCAGATTAGTTTCTGAAACTGTTACATCAGTGTACATGCCAAATCCCTCAGATTTTTGCTAACTCTGGATAGTAAAGTAATATTCCCAGTTGAGAGAGCAAAAAATAGCCAGGTGTGGTGGCACACTTCTTTAATCATAGCATTTAGGAAGTAGACGAAAATGGAATAAAAAGAAAGAAAGAAACAAAGGAAGAAAGAAACAAAGACAGAGAAAGTGGTCGGGGATAGGAGTGGTGGCTCAGCAGTTAAAAGCACTGGCTGCTCTTCCAGAGGATCCCGGTTCAATTCCCAACACCCACATGGTGGCTTGCAACTGTCTGTAACTACTGTTCCAGGGGATCCAATACCCTCCTCTGACCTCTAAAGACAGCAGGCCAACATGGTACAGAAACATATATGCAGACAAAATACATTTATAAAAATAAATAAATAGATCTTAAAAAAAAAAAACAAAGAAAACCATGGAAGGTAAAAAGCAGTACCTGATTGTCTTAATTACAGTGTGTGGTAAGTTGTTTAGACAAAATCCCTACCCTGGCTAAAAAAGCATTTGGCTGTTTTGTTGAAAGGCACCTTCCCTGTCCCACTCATAACTAAAAGGCCAAGAATACCCACTGTTTTTGTTGTTGTTTTTGGTAAGGTTCATGCTGGGTATGGGATGTTATGGAGACCCTCCCCTACTGCCTACTCTTCATACTGACATGACATATTCCTATGTTACACTTTCCACATAGGGGTTGACAATGGTGAAGACATTCCCCGAGACCTCTTGGTAGGCATCTACCAGCGCATTCAAGGCCGTGAACTGCGGACCAATGATGACCATGTGTCCCAGGTGCAGGCTGTGGAGCGCATGATTGTTGGCAAGAAACCGGTGAGTGCCTGGGGAGGGGACACTGTTGTGTGGTAAGTCACTCTCCTGAACCCCAACCCCAGATTCCTCTTATCTGTAAAATGAAGTAGAAGATAGTATATTCCTTAAGGATCATGGGAGATTCCCCATGTAAATACATACAGTATATTGCAAAGTTTATATAGTAGGTGCTGTATAAATATTTTCTTCTCATCTGTGGTTTTGTCTGTCCATCTCAAGTAAGGAGATTAAAGCTAATATTTGCTAAGAAACAGATACATTTTGGCCAACAGACATTTATGGATGCCTTACCCCTGATCCCAGCATTTTACTGGAATCCAGACACATAGATGTGAATCAGGTACAATTTCTGTCTTTAGGGACACTCAAAGATTAGTGATGTTCCAAGGCAAAGACACAAATAATACTTCTGCCTCGTGGACTAATTTAGAGGAACAGAAATCAGGGAGAGGCCATTTTAAATTAGCCAAGGGAAGTCAGAAAGACTTCTTGGAAAATAACTCTGGAATTGTGATTTGAAAGAGAGGCAAAATATGGCCATGCAAAGCCAGGCAGGAAAGGCATTTCAGACAGAGGGTGCTAGCAAGACAAAGACAAAGTGGCAGAAAAGCTTAAAGGACTTACTTGTTTATATTCTTTGTGTCAGGGTGACAGATAGGTATCAGGTGTACATTTTGCCTTGTTAAGGTACCAGAGGCCTGACACTGATGGGATGGCCTTGCTGACACCTATTTTCCATTTCTTTTTTTTTTATTTTTTTGGTTTTTCGAGACAAGGTTTCTCTGTGTAGCTTTGGAGCCTATCCTGGCACTCACTCTGGAGACCAGGCTGGCCTCGAACTCACAGAGGTCCACCTGCCTCTGCCTCCTGAGTGCTGGGATTAAAGGCGTGTGCCACCAACTCCCGGTTCCTATTTTCCATTTCTCTCCAGGTCCTGTCTCTTCCTCACCGTCGACTGGTTTGCTGCTGCCAGCTCTATGAGGTGCCAGATCCAAACCGCCCCCAAAGGCTGGGACTGCATCAGCGGGAGGTTTTCCTCTTCAATGACCTCCTTGTGGTATGATCATGGGGAAGAAGGAAATGGGAGGGAGATAACACAACTGCTTGCTCTAATGCAAACCATGGTATGTGGAGTGTGATTGATACAGTGCTCCAGCATGCCATTTACATGGTCTCCAGTGAGGCATAGCCCTTCTCTGCCCCTCCTTTTGCTTCATTTCGATGTAGGGACAGCCGCACAAGGGCAGACAATGTGAGGATCAGGGGGGAAATGATGGACATATAATCTGGGAAGTGGTAGGAAATGTCCCTGCCCACCACAATAGCACAGAGGGTTGTGAACAGTAGCACAGAGGCCCGTGAACCTTATACTTGTCTTGATGTTGGAAGTGATTAAACAAAGCACATCACTGGTACAGAGATACAGACCTTTTAGTGATGGGATTCGTTGAATTCTGTGGGTTAGAAGGGATTTTCAGGATTTCCTGGGCAAGAGCCATTCTTCAATATAGCTTAGCCCTGACTGCTAGAATCGTTGTGGGGGGTTTGGAGGGGGAGGTGGGTTTGTTTTTATTTTTGTTTTATTTTTCTAATACAGGGTCTCATTGTGTATCTCTGGCTGTCCTGGAATGCACTATGTAGACCAGGCTAGTCTCAAACTCATAAAAATCCATCAGCCTCTGCCTCTGCCCCTGCCTCTGGAATGCTAGGATTAAAGGCACGAACTGCCACACCAGGCTAGAATCTGCCCCTGATAAGGTTCTCCTCCTACTCTACATTCTCCACTGTTTCTTGGGATCACAAACAACAACTAATTCCCCTCTGTTCTGATTTGAGGGATTTGAGAACAGCAATCCTGTTCCTTCCTTGGTCTTCTCGCCTTCACATTAGGGTTTCTCAGTCTTGGCACTGTTCATATTTTGATACAGACAGTTCTTTCTTGCAGGGGCCTGTCTTGTGCACTGTAGTCTTTTAGCACCACGCTGGGATACCTACTAGAAGCCAACAGCAAGCCTTCAACCCAAAAAAAAATGTGTTCTCCAGAGAAAAGCAAAAAGAGAGAGAGAGAGAAGGAGGGGTGGGAGAGGGAGAGAGCATCTTCAGGGAAGAAAAGGTGGAGGGAACAAAAGAAAGCAATATCTTTTCTGGCCATTGTGCTGTATCCTGTGGCAGCTGGGGTCAAAATCCTCTCCAGTTGAAAATCACCACTTGAAACAAAATGCCTCAACATCCTCTCCAAACTTCAGTTGCTTGCTTCATGAAATAGTGTTAGCTAGCCCTTATCTCCTAGAGCTGTCAAGAAAAAGAACTAAAAAGTCAGTCCCCAACAATACGGTTCTGGTTCTGTAGTAGTTCCTTAGCATATGCAAGAATCTGGGTTCCATTCCCAGCACTACAAAAGGGGGAAGAGATAGTCACACCTTAAATCAGATGTGCCTGGCCCACACAGGTGCCCTAGTAGATACCCTTCATTTACTGACACCCCTCTGTGTGAAGCTCTATGTTAGCTACTGAGTGAGTACATGGAGATAAACGAGACTTAGTCCTTGTTCTCAGGGACTCACAACCCAAAGGACCTAAAATATGTTTTGCAACATGGTGATACAGCCCTGTAATGTAAGCATTTGGGAGGGGGAGGCAAAAGGAACATGAAGCTAAGGTCAGACTGGGCTTCAAGATGGAGACCTTATCTCAACCACCAAACCAAGAAGTGTTTGACACCATTGTGCACTGTAGCCAATGTAAAATCAAACATTTATTTTAAGAGTCATTTGTAGGTGGGACGGGGGAGGGGGGGGTCTCGAAAAACAAACAAACAAAAAGAGTCATTTGTAGAGGATGAGCTGTAGTTTAGCAATAGAGTACTTGTCTGGCCCCAGGGTTTCATCCCCATCATACAAAATAAATGAAATAAAATAGCTACTTGCAGATTGTCCGAGCTTATGTTAGTGTAGAATCCAGAATGCCTAAATACTTGATAAAGACTTTGGGTTGGTGACAGGTTGTTAATCCTGTTTGAAGGCTAGGCAGAAGTTGCTGTATCTCTGAATGGTGGAGGTGAGAGAACCTGTGGGACAGCAGGGGGCCATCATGTATTCACAACTACTATAGAGTCTAACAAGGGAAAAGGTATAGAACCGGCACCCTGGAAGCTCAGAAGATAGGAACAGAAGTCTATGTGAGGTATTAGGACAGGCTTCCTGGAGGGCCAGGCATTCGTTTAGTTCCTTTAAAAGTCACATGCCTGTGTATGCTCATGATGTCACAAGCTTGCATTTTCTCCACCTCTCCGTTCCTCAAGTTTCAGTTCTCCCTTGTGGGTATACGTGTTCATGTGTATATATCTGTTACTGGAAATAGGTGGGGAAGGTGGTTACTAGAAATGGGTACCACTTGGAAATTCCCCACCCTAAACCCTGCCTCTTATCTTTTTCCCACCCTTCTTTGCCAAAGGTCACCAAAATTTTCCAGAAGAAGAAGATCTTGGTGACATACAGCTTCCGACAGTCCTTTCCCCTGGTGGAAATGCACATGCAGCTCTTCCAGAATTCATGTGAGTCCCCTCTTGAACCCTAGCATGTGTCCCAGGGTGTATCAGAGCCCATGCGCATCCTTCATCTACACTAGCTTCTAGCCTTTCAAGTCCTCTACAATTGGGTTAAAGTCTCCAAAGTATCTTCTTGTCCAAGGATGAAAGGAAGACTAGAATGGAGTATGATTTGGGTGTGGTTTCTGGAGAACATGGAACAGCAATGTTTGATGTGTTCCTTAGTGAGCAGATGTGGCAGTCACACTGTGCTTTGAAGTACTGAACTGAGAAGAGCATGATTGGATATCATTCAAGAGAGCAGAGTCATTGTGTGAGGCAGAGGTACAAAGGGAAAGGTTTCTAGAAAGCAGTTCAGAATTCTGTTTGCTTTTACACCCTGCAGTCTGGGATAAGGTTGCCAGGGCTACCAGGAGTCTGAGGCAAAGGGAAACCACTGAAGATGCTTGATCACAAAAGAGGCATTTCAGAGTTGGATGTTACTGGAATGATTTCCAAAGTGGACAGGGTGATGTGTAGGACAGTATTTGAGAGGCAGAGACAGAAAAGTTACTTGAGCCCAGGAATTTGAGACTAGCCAAATAGGATGACTCTGTCTCAGAGATGCTTGGCAGCAATGGGGAGTGGGTTGTATCATTTCTCAGTTTCTTGTCTTAGCCACTTTGCTTCAAACCTGACAGAAATACCCAGCTTCTGGACACTTTGCATGTGGGTGACAGTTGTATATCTTGGTCTGTTTGTGGGGTTCCTGGCAGTGGGACCAGGATCTATCCCTGGTGCATGAGCTGGCTTTTTGGAGCTCATTCCCAATGGTGGAATGCCATACTCAGCCTTGATGCACATGGGAGGGGCTTGATCCTGCCTCAACTTAATGTGCCACGCTTTATTGACCCCCCATGGGAGGCCTTACCTTTTCTGAGGAGTAGATTGGGGGTGGGTTGGGGGTAGAGGGGGGAAGTAGGAGGGGAGAGGGGAACTGTGGTTGGTATGTAAAATAAGAAAATAAATAAAAGTAATTAAAAGAAAGAAATACCCAGCTTTTCTGTCTGCTCTCATTGCTGCAGATTATCAGTTTGGGATCAAGCTATTGTCTGCGGTACCTGGAGGGGAACGAAAAGTCCTCATCATCTTCAATGCTCCTAGCCTCCAAGACAGGCTGCGCTTTACCTCTGACCTGCGGGAGTCTATTGCTGAAGTGCAGGAGATGGAGAAGTACCGTGTGGAATGTGAGTAGCTACAGTCATGTAGCTACTCCTGTCATGATACAATGTTCCACAGACACCAAAAATCCTATATTCTGAGTTAAGGGCCAGCTTGCCCAACCTTCCTACCCCTCATTCTAGGAACCCTTCAGCTTCTAGGAGCCCATTGCTTCCTAACCCCAGATGATTCCAGTCATTGTGAGTCTATGCTGTGGCCTCCACAGCCACCCTCCAATCATGAGCCAACTCTTCCTTCTGTTGCATGGTATCAAGGAGAAGACTCAGGGCATAGGAGATAGGACTGTAGCTTCATACTTCATGTTTGCTATTTGTTATCTGGGCAAACTTGGGTGAGTTCCATGGCCCTCTGAACCCTTTGTTCAGATGAAACCGGGATAAAGAAATCTTCATGGAGTTTGACAAGGAGCCAGACACAGTGGTTGCACACCTGTAATCTCAGTACTGGGGAGGCTGGGGCAGGAAGATTTGAAGTTCCCAGACCAGCCGTGGCTATGTAGTGAGTCTCTCACAAAGAGAGGGGAGGAAGAGGAGAGGAGAAGTTGAAGATGAAGGAAAGGAAGAGAGAAGAGACCAGTGCATCCATGGTGTCCAATAATACCATTCACTATCTCCTCTCCTCAGTATCAGCTCCTGAGCTGAGGTCCAGCTCAATAACCAGGGCCTACGCCAAGTGTTTTCGATCATAGACGATGGAAAATAGTGATTTTTATCTCATTCTTCCTGATGCCCTCCAGGTTTTCTCTTTTCTAAGCTAAGCAGTCACAGTTAAGTAACATGGCATCGAGGAGGAAGAAGGCAGAGAGAAACAGAAGCAGTAGTCAGTTCCTTAATAGGTCTTCAGGAAGGTGCATTATCAGTTTAGTAGAGTCCTGGAACCCCTGGGGGAATAGAAGGCAGGAGATCAGCCATATAAAGATAAGGAGAGGCCCACTAGACCAGTTTTCCTGACCTCATTGGAGGTATGGGGGCCAGGAGAGCAGGATAGACCTGCTTGTAGAATGTTTGCTTTACCGATTTCAACTGTCCTACCGTGAGCAGACTCTGACTTGTCAAGTTCTCAGGTTCTTTTTCTGCAATGTAGATGATGCTCATAATGTGGAATGAGAGGGATCAAGTGTGTGCTGTCCCCAGCATCCTGTCTGGCACATAATAGAGGGTTTGATTCCCATCAGTTTCCTGCCCTTGCTGTTCCAAGAGCTCCTCTGCTATGAAGCAAGGCATCTGAAAACTGAGTGAACTTTGAAAGGACTGTCTTTCTCCATAGGCTAGAAGGGCCTTCCCATCCTTACTGTGAGCCATCTGTTGTAAAGCTCTTGTTTAAAGGGCAGGGGTGAGCCTGGCATTGGTGGCGCACGCCTTTAATCCCAGCACTCGAGAGGCAGAGGCAGGTGGATCTTTGTGAGTTTGAGGCCAGCCTTGTCTATAAAGTGAGTTCCAGGGCAGTCTGCAAAGCTACACAGAGAAACCCTATCTCAAAATAAATAAATAAGTGGCAGGAGTGATTAGGGAGGCCTGTCTACAATAGGGTAAAGAAAAGGGAGCAGGAAGTGTAGGCACCTATACTTTCAGGGAGGAAAGAAAAAGAAGGGTTAGGTGGCATAGGGTGAGCTAGGCACCTAAGGAGCTTTGAAGATAGAATTGCAGTTTGGGGGGGTACTATTAGAGGGGTGGGAGTGGGGCAGGAAGCTTGGGGAGCAGAAGGAGGGAGGAAAAGTGAGGAAGGCTGTTAGTCTATCAGGTGGGTTCTTAGTGTTATTCCTGATCTTTCCCCATTTTCTCCACTGCTACCCAGCGGAGCTGGAGAAGCAGAAAGGTATGATGCGGCCTAATGCCTCACAGCCTGGAGGAGCCAAGGACTCAGTGAATGGGACTCTGGCCCGCAGTAGTCTGGAGGACACTTATGGGGCAGGCGATGGGCTCAAGCGGGGTGCACTCAGTAGTTCCCTGCGAGACCTCTCTGATGCAGGTAAGTGCTCTGGGCCCCTGCCCTGACTGGGGAGATGCGGGACCAGGTGTCCTTTTTGCCTCCTGTCACTGGCTGTTATCTTTCCTCCATCACACACACACACACACACACACACACCACCACACACACACAAACCCTTCCTTCAGAGCCCTGGGCACTATGTCACAGGGGGCCTGGTAGCCAGGTCAGAACAGGTGGGGCCCAGGGTTTCTGCCAGGGAGTATAAAGTGGGGCCACAGACTCAGCCCCTCTCCTCTTTTCCCTCTTCTGTCTCTCCTTTACTGCCTCTCCTCCATATTTTCCTCCTCTCTTTCCTCCTTCTCAACCTCTCCTCCTCCCTACCTCCCCCTCTTCAATGGGGGAGAGGGGTAAAGGGGTGTTTGTCCCTGGGAGGGACCTAGGCCTGGTGCCCAGCTCTGGAGCCCAGCAGGGTGGGGAGGGAGGGTTGCTGCTCTGACGCTGGGCTCCTTGCTTGTGGGTGCAGGGAAGCGGGGGCGGCGTAACAGCGTGGGATCGCTGGACAGCACCATCGAAGTAAGTGTCCGCTCCTGCCCCACTCATTTTCTGCATGAGCCCCGCCCTGGCCATGGAGCCCCAGAGGAGGAGGGGACCTGTTGCCTACCCCTCTTCCGTGCTGGGAACCATATGGCTGACTCTCCCAGCCAACCACTTTCTCCATCTGTCCTCACTCTGTCTGTCCTCACTCTGCCTGTCTCTCAGTCTGTCTTCCACTCTCCCATGCCCCTTCTTAACCCCAGGGCCAACTCCAAATAGGGATGCCCTTGGACTTGGGCCTCAAGAAACGTTAACCTCCAAATCCTGCTCTTTGACCCTGAGCGAGTTACTCTGCCTTTCTAGGCCTAACATTTTCTTGGCCTGAGAAATGGTCATGAGAAGGAGGTCCTACTGATTCTTCCTCTGCCCTCTGAGGTTCAACTGAGGTAGTGGATGTGGCAACAGAGCTGGGGAGCAGAGCTGGCCACAAATACAGGACTGCTGTTTGGTTTTTGCTGTTACTTTGGGAATCCCTGTTGTTCCAGCTTCAGGGACAGGGGTGGAGTTTAGGGTTGGGGGTTTAGGATATTTAGACTGGCCTGACTTCCCCCCCTCCCCCCTTTCAGGGGTCTGTTATTAGCAGTCCACGCCCTCACCAGAGGATGCCACCTCCGCCCCCCCCCCCGCCGCCAGAGGAGTACAAGAGCCAGAGGCCAGTCTCGAACTCCTCATCTTTCCTGGGCTCCCTATTTGGAAGCAAGAGAGGCAAAGGGCCCTTCCAGATGCCACCACCGCCAACAGGCCAGGCCTCTGCCTCGTCTTCATCTGCTTCCTCCACCCACCACCACCATCACCACCACCACCATGGTCACAGCCATGGTGGCATGGGGGTGCTACCTGATGGGCAGTCCAAGCTCCAGGCCCTGCATGCCCAGTATTGCCAAGGACCGGGCCCTGCCCCACCACCCTACCTCCCACCCCAGCAACCCCCTCTGCCTCCACCCCCTCAGCAGCCTCCACCCTTGCCCCAGCTGGGCTCCATTCCACCACCACCTGCCTCAGCCCCACCTGTGGGGCCACATCGACCCCAGTTCCAGGACCCCAGCATTATACCTTGGGCCGGCCAGGGAGAGCCCCAAGACGAGGGGCTGGAGGACACCCTCAGTTTGCTCCACATGGCCGCCATCCCTTGCACCAGCCCACATCCCCATTACCCCTGTACAGTCCTGCTCCACAGCACCCTCCTGCCCATAAACAGGGCCCCAAGCACTTCATCTTCAGTCACCACCCACAGATGATGCCAGCAGCAGGTGCAGCTGGGGGCCCTGGCTCCCGGCCACCAGGGGGATCCTACTCCCACCCTCACCACCCCCAGTCACCACTGTCACCACACTCACCCATCCCACCTCACCCCTCCTACCCACCCCTGCCCCCACCCTCACCTCACACCCCACATTCACCCCTACCACCCACCTCCCCCCATGGCCCACTGCACGCCTCTGGGCCCCCTGGCACGGCTAATCCACCCAGTGCAAACCCCAAGGCCAAGCCAAGCCGGATCAGCACTGTGGTCTGAGGAATGGGATGAGTGTCCTGGGGAACAGGATAGTCTGGGGAAATCCACGGGAGAGGGACTTTGCCCCCTCTCTTCTTCCTCAGTTTTTTCTAAATATATATACACTCAGCAGTGTCCTTTTTTCCACTTCCTCCACACCTCCAGACCCTTCTTTCAACCCCTGGCAGTTGTCATGGGGTTTCCTTCTGGATCGGAGGGCCCTTGCCACTTGCAGCCTGTACTTAGGGCACTACAGTGCTGGGAAGTGGTAAGGGCCTCTCCGCAGTCCTTGTCCTCCGTTTCCTGTCTTCCTCTTCTCTTTCTTGTCCCTGGAGGTCTAGTGGGTGGCCTCAGACCTCTGGGCAAATGTGAGCTTCCTTGCAAGCTGGTGGAGAAGGCAGGCTTCTGGAGCTGTGGGGGTGAAGGCTTCCCTGGAGCTCCTCTGGCTGTGTGGGGCTAGGAGAGAGCTCTGTAGAGCTGTGGCCAAACCTCAGGGCCTAGCCACACACCTCCATGTGTCTTTCTGCCTGCTGGAGGACACAGACTTCCGTGCACTCTGTGGGTGGAACCCTGCTTGTGCTGGCCCCTCACTGAGGGCACTGCTTCCTCTCTTGAGCCAGTCTGTGTGTGCCCTCTCTCCTAATAAGCCCCAGCCCAGACCTCTTTGGCTTCAGGAACTTGCCTTGCCCTCTGCAATGTTCTTATCCTGATCAAAGTCTTTTTTTTTTTTTTTTTTTTGGAGGTGGCGGGGGGCTCAGGTCTGGGATGAGAAGGGTACTACCCTCCCTCACCCATATTGCATGCCCCCCATTCCTTCTACTTTCCCCACCTACATCTGAAGACAATGCACTTTACAGATATCACCCACACATATCACACTGGGGCAGGGCACCCAGCATCAGCCCTGGGGAAAGACTCCCAGAGGATCACCCTGAGCCCAAGATGTCCTTCCTGAGGCAGAGATCGAAGCCATCAGAGCTGGGGCTGCGAGCCAGAATGCCCAAGCCCCTCTTGTTCATCAAAATCTCCACTGCCTCGCCAGTCCTTTCACAGCCCTGTTTATTTATTATAAATATATTTTTTACAAGTCCCAACTCCTCTTCTTGCCCTATACATCCAGCTCCTTTCACAGTCCCTGCCTTCTTCTCCCTTGTCCAGTATGGGCTGCAGTACAGACAGACAGAAGGACCCTCTATGTCAAAGGGTCCCCGGGGCTTGGGGTTGTGGGAGGGTGTTGGTGGGAGGGACTGTGTGGAGAGGAGCGGGGGTCCAGGCATTGTCTTTTTCCCTCCTTGTATATAAGAATGTATATTTGATGCCTCATAAAAGACCTTGTGCTCACCTCTGGCCTCTGCCTCCTACTTATGCCCCCTTCACTGTGGAGCCCATGGAGAGAGAGGCACTCGTCTGGGGAGGTGATGTGTTAATGGTAATTCAGACAACTGGGTGGGCAAGATGCTTTGCTTGGGTAGGAGTGTAGATGAGGGTGGATTTCCTGTCTCATTTCTTATGTCCTCTGCATGACAGTGGCAGGAGTGTGGGCCTTTGTGTTGATCCAGTACATACCCTGAGGGTTTCACTGAGGCACAAGACTTTCAAGGAATGACTCTCCCAAGTCTTAGTCACTTCACTTTACCACCTGGGATGACCGCATATTGTTATGCTATCGAACTTGGAGGTCACAACCTCTGCCCTAAGTCAGTTTCTTAATTGGCTTGTTGACAAGCAAATTAAAAGAGCCAAATTAAAAGTTGAAAGCAGAATGAATAAGAGATTGATTCAATGTGACCATATTGGAAGACAAATAAAGGGGTCTAGAAAACCCCCAAGTCAGTCTTCAGGGTCCTGAAGGTAGGTCCAAGTTTTAAAAAAAGGGCCAAGGATAGGCACATGGAAGTAGTTGAGGTCAAGGTGTGGTCCAAGCCACCATTGGCCCTTCTTTCTATGGGCTTCAGTCTCATCCTATAAAATGGTTAGAACTGGGTAAAATCTCTTTCCTGGAGACAAATTCTCCTTCTGGCATGAGATTCCTGGGGAATTTCCCTTTCTTTGGAGCCCATTGTTTCAATAATCTGATAGATTGAGAGGCACAAATGTCTCTGTAAAATATTCAGGCTGGGGAGAAGGCTCAGAGATTAAGAGCATTTCTTGGCCCAGAGAGTAGTGGCACACACCCTTAATCCCAGCACTTGGGAGTCAGAGGCAGGCGGATCTCTGGGAGTTTGAGGCCAACCTGGTCCTGAATTTCAGGACAGCCAGGACTGTTATACAGAGAAATTCTGTCTGGAAAAACCAAAAACCGAAACAAAGAAACAAACAAAAACCCAGAACACTTCCTGTTCTTGCAAAGGACTGGAGTTTGATTCCCAGAACCCAAATGATGGCTCACAACTATTTATAACTCCACAACTCTGGGGGATCCAACATACTCACTTGCATATAACTCACATATGGATACACACATACATATAATTGAAAATAAAAATAAATATTTAAAAAAAGAATATCTTCATTTTTTGCCAGTCTAGTTACAGCTACATGGAATTGTGCTAACTGCATGAAGTAATCAATACCAAGCAGCTAGGATGGAGTAGGTATTCAGCAAGTTAGTTGTCTTCTCTGTAGAGGGTGGCTATGTGAAAGTGTGTGGCCTCTGTTCTCACTCTTCCTGTGACTGGCCTGGTTTTGCCTTGAAATCCCTGCTACTGACTCTCCATGCAATGGCTGGCCATATTTTTGTTTTTGAGACCAGGGAGGTGATGAGCTAGGAAGGCTCAAGTCTAAATACTTTATTTGAGCTCTGTGTATATACTTAGAATACTAAATAACAAATAGCTGTCTTTCATTTACAGAGGAGACAGAACAGACAGCAAGTTAGGATGGGGCTTCTTTCTTTCTTTCTTTTTTGGGGGGGTGTTTTTGAGACAGGGTTTCTCTGTGTAGTTTTGGAGGCTGTCGTGGAACTTGCTCTGTAGACCGGGCTGTCTTCGAACTCACAGAGACCCTCCTGCCTCTGCCTCCCAAGTGCTGGGATTAAAGGCATGAGCCACCAACACCTGGCAAGATGAGTTTTCTTTACTTGTTGCCCAAACCCATTTCCACTGCCCCAAGCTGTGTCCCTGTAAAATGGACCCATTTCTAGCATCAGTAGTTATGCCTTGGGTCTCAGCCTAACATGGGACAGATGGAGCAGAGTAATGGCTCTTAGATTCAGCAGGGTCCCCAGACAACATTCAGTTGGCAGTTTTGCTGCTTTCCTAGGATCTGCAATGGTGGGATGGTTTAGAGGACCCTACCCTTCTTGGATCAGTGCTTTTGTTTTCTTCCTGGTAAAGCATGCTGAAAGGCCACCCAAAGAAGATAACTAGAGCAGCAGCTAGAGCCATGTAAGTGTTTGGTGCCTCCTGGTGGATCCGACCTGAGTGTTTGAAGAGCCCAGATGTGGGGTCCACACAGCATGTTTTGGTTTCTTCCTTGGTGGGCTATGCTAGGCTCTCCTTGGTCTCTCCCAATTTTTCTACCTTCAGCTAGTGACTGGCTGTATCTTGGTAATGGTTAGCCTTTAGCACTCAGATACTGACCCATGCTTCTTCGGCAATTCACCTGACCCCTGAGAGCCTGGTTTTTGACCTCTAGAATGGAAACAAAAAGTTTTTCAGGACAATTGCTAGCTGATACATTGTTAGCTGATACATTGTTAGCTGATAACATGTGAAATGCCTACCTCCTGCCACACTTACAGTCAGCTGCTCTCAGTCGCCTACAGAAATCAATGCAAAAGTTGGGAGTTTGTCACAGGGTGTCCTAGTCAAGATCTCAGAAGTCCATCTCTCTCTCTCCCTGCCTCCCTCTCTCTCTCCCTCCCTCTCCCCCTCTCTCTCTCACATACTTAGTAATTAATGAATGAAATTTTTTAATTTTTAAAATTTATTCTTATTTTATGTGCATTGGTGTTTTGTCTGCATATATGTCTGTGTGAGGGTGCTGGATCCTGGAGTTACTGACAGTTGTGAGCTGCCATGTGGGTGCTGGAAATTGAACTCAGGTCTTTTGAAAGAGCAGTTAAATACTCTTAACCACTGAGCCGTCTCTTCACCCCGATGAATGGAATTTTTAAAATTAAAAAGAATTAGAGAATTCAAAGCAGTAGTAATACAGAGTAAACATTCTCATTCCACAAGGAAGGAATGAAAATACAGAAAGGAGGGATAGGACTAAAGCAAGGCTGAAAACCCAGTCAGATGAATATTACATTCTGTTGCTTCATGTCTGGTGTCTAGGTCATGTGTATCGTAATGTGACATCCAAAGGGCCTGGAAAGCCCTGCCCCTGTGGCCCTTCTATTGTAGCCCCTTTCTTGGGCTGGCCTTGTTGGCTGGCTGAAACTTTACTCAGCAAAATGTTCCCATTTCCCTGGCATCTCTAATTTCCTGGAACTTTTCAACTTCCATAGACTTTTCAACTTCACCCTCACAGCTTTGCCTGTTGCACTCTCAAGGGTTGCATGTTAGGGGTCCTGGCATCTCTTGAAATTTGGGTAGAAACCAGGTGTGATGCCACATGCCTATAAACACAGCACTTGTGGGAGGCAGTGGCAGGAAGATTAGGAGTTCAAGGGCAACCTGAGTTACATAGCAAGTTGGAGGTACACTTGACACCCTGTTTCAGAAAGCCCCAAACTAGGCCGGGCATTGGTGGCGCACGCCTTTAGTCCCAGCACTTGGGGGCAGAGGCAGGTGGATCTCTGTGAGTTCGAGACCAGCCTGGTTTATAAGAGCTAGTTCCAGGACAGCCTCCAAAGCCACAGAGAAACCCTGTCTCGAAAAACCAAAAAAATAAAAGAAAGAAAAAAAAAAAAAAAGCCGGGTGTTGGTAACGCTCGCCTTTAGTCCCAGCATTCGGAAGGCAGAGGCAGGTGGATCTCTGTGAGTTCGAGACCAGCCTGGTTTATAAGAGCTAGTTCCAGGACAGCCTCCAAAGCCACAGAGAAACCCTGTCTCGAAAAACCAAAAAAAAAAAAAAAAAAAAAAGAAAAAGAAAAAAAAAAGGCCCCAAACTATTCTTAAACCAAGCCCAAATTCATCAGTGTCATGATGGTGGCCGACTTCTGCTGTCAACTATAGGGTGAGGGGCTTAGACCATGCAGTCCCTGTCTTGTAGTGCCAGGGGCAGAGAATAGGAGAATGTTTCCCTAGGAAGTGTGAGCATTGGTGGTCCCAGGGTGTGTGTGTGTGTGTGTGTGTGTGTGTGTGTGTGTGTGTGCAAGCCCGAGCTTGATGTTGTGTATCTTCTCCAGTCACTCTCCATCTTATTCGGGGGATAGGGTCTCCCACTAAACCTCAGAGATCCTCCCGTCTCTACCTCTACCTCAGTGCTGCTGATTACTTGGCTTTTTTTTAAATATGGATGCTGTGGATCAAACTCAGGTCCTCTTGATTCCATGCCAAACACTGTACCAAATGACCCATCTCCTCAGCACTTTCCCCAGGACTCTCTTTAATGAAGACTATTTACTTATTTATGTATTTATTTGTGTTTGTGTGCATGGTGGGTATGGAAAGCAGTGGCACATATGGTGGAGGTCAGAGAATAACTTTTGTGAATCACCGTTTTTCTTCCTCTGTGTAGATTCCAGGGATCAAACTCAGGTCAAGGATTAGTGCTATCTCATCACCCAGCTTTTTGTGCTTGGTTTTTCTTTTTTTGTTTGCTTGGGATTAAAGGTGTGCACCAACCA